GTGTATATATATATAAGAAAAACTAAACCTGGGATAGTTTTTACATCTTTGAGAAGCATAATCGGTTTTCCAACAATCGAAACCATAATTGAACTGCTCACATGATCATGAATTATTATAATATTCAAGGAACTCACGTGCACAACATTAGCCCAAACTCACTTGGATCTTTGCAACTTGCTAAAGGCGAGCAACATTCATGTCATAACTGCTTGAGTAGGAAACAACGAGATCCGCCCGATTCAAAACCGACCCTCTGCCAATTTCAGAATATAATGAGCTACAAATATTTTGTCCATGTCAGTGGCTTATGTTTTTTTTTTCAGGGTTATGCGGTGGTCCGCTGGCCAGTCCAACAGGACACTTTGCATCCCCCAATTATCCTCGCTACTATCCTAACAACGCCTACTGTGAATGGAAAATCCACGTTCCACTAGGATCTGTACTCAAGATCGACTTTCTCTTCTTTAAAACCGAAGAATGGTAAGAAGTTAAAGGTTCCTTATCATCAAGATCCGAGTATCTCGTCAATTCCCAATCAGCGGTGTCTCCTATTGGCTCCACACTCCTAGGTTATTAGCTCATGTGCCTTTCTCGGCAATATCTGGCGCGTGCAAGGCCGACAGGCAGCATGTTAAGTGTTTTGTTAACAAACTGGAATCTTATGTTACAGTATTTCTGTCGTTATCGTATATTCTAATCGAGCTAAGAAAAAAAAAACAGATCTGAACATGGAAAGTATCACAGAATGATTAAGTGTACCAAAAAATTGACCGCGATATATCTGCATCTCTTTTTTTAAACTCAAAATTTTATACAGAATTTATGGGCTTATTGGCGTTTTTGCCAACCAGAACTTTTGTAGTTTTTAAAAACCAGTTTCTTCTGCAATATTACCTACAAAAAGCTAAGAAGTTCACCGACTACTAGATTCCCCTGCTCTTTAGAAAGGTTTTCGAAAGTTTAGAGTCAATTTTCTTCCAGCTTAGCGCCTTGCTTGCCTTTCTTCTAGCTTAGGTTTTAAGCAAAGATTTTCCTAAAGCGAAAAGAACCTTTCATAAAATAAAAGATGGTCAAAAGTTTTAAAACACGTTCAGTTTCAAGAAGATATACTGTATAAAGAGCCCTGAAATAAGTCGAACACGCCCTAGCACATTCCTACTGTAATTGAATAACATTAATAAAATTAAAAAGTTAAGTTCTATTACTTTTTTGTAGCTATGATTTCCTTGAAATTTATGTGGGCAGACGTTTGGTCCGGTACCTAACCGGGGACGACATTGATGACGATGATGACGACGACGACGACGATGATATACGAGATTGTGATGATAAGGATGACAAGGTGTGAAAACCTGATTGATCTTCGTAGTTATGCACACAACTTAAGCAGTTGTGATATTAAAGCCTGAAAAGTCATATATTCGCTTGTATTCATATTCATATATTCATATATTCACTTTTAAGGATGGCAAGGGTTATGGAAAAGATATTTTTAGCTGGTTTTTCTTCAAAGATGAAGAACTGGTTAAAGATGAAGAACTAGACGACGACACTGTCAGCATCCAGGGAACGGGCGAGATGGTCAGACTTATCTTTAGCTCCGACCGCAGTGTTACAAAGAGAGGGTTCTTTGCCAAATACAATGTGATGCAAGGTATTTCATTAATGTTATCAAGTAAAGAAGCTTAAATCATGTACCACACTGTTATTAAATACGTCGAATATTGGAGGATACAGGAAAGATGAACTGTAGGAGAATTTTTCGGAAGTTATATTTAAACCAGATTTTTTTTTCCTGACACCAGTATTTGTGACTTTTGAATATAACCTACGGAGAGATGTAGGGGAACTAAATGAGAGGGATCTACGCTGCCATTTTCTCGTCATTTCGTTTCTCTCAAATCGTATTTGCAGTCTGCCTTCCAAACTTGCATTTTAAATTTTTGGTGTTAAATTTCAAGATTTTTTAAATTTCAAGTTTCTGTTCAATTTAAGATATTTGTTTCCTTGCTTAGTGTCCCCGGTTAGTACAGTAGTGGTAAATACTTCCACACTCAAATAAAGTGATTTAATTATTATTATTTTTTGGTTACAAGTGATCCTGGATTGCTATAAATAGTCTTTAGGGTAGGATGAAACCAACAACAAAAACAGGCATCAGCCAGTTAACGATCATTTGGATCTGTCAGTTTATAACACAAATCCAAAGTATTCTTTTATTCTCGTTAGCCATTTGTGGAGGACGATTGCCGTTTCCATCCGGGAGCTTTAGATCTCCTGGTTACCCTGACAACTATCCAGACGATGTCAAGTGCGTGTGGACAATCACTGTGCCACCTGGATCAGTGCTAGAGCTAGAATTTCGCTTCTTCGAAACAGAGATATGGTGGGTTTAACATCAACTTACAGACTGCGAGTTGAACTTGAGCTGGTAAATTAACGTTTCCTGGTCAAGTAAAGTCCTGAGGCTCACATCAAGTAGTATAGTAGTAGTAATCATTAATGAGGATACCCAAAATTTTAAACTCTCACATTATATTGCTTGTGGAAAGCAAGTGGGATGTATATCTTTTATACTAAAGCCCACACTTAGGCAAAATAGAATCGTATTTTTAGTTAGGGATAACGGAGAATTGGTCATCTTACAATTTGAATTTTCCCCCAGATTGCTAAACTATAATATAGCTGTAAACGTGTCATTTATCAAGGAAGAAGGCGTAGAAGATCAGAAAACGATGGGGCTTTATGTTATAAGCAAAAAAGAAATGATCCTCTAATTATTTTAATCTGTTCCCTTGTTCTTGTTCATTTCCTAGTGATGATTACGTCATGATTCTTCAAGGGGGTCGTAAGGTGCGTCGCTTGAGTGGTGTGTACCGCTATGGTTTGTTAGGATGGGGAGATGATGATGATGATTGTGATGACGATGGCCATGATGGTGATGGCGAAGATAAGGGTGATGGTGATGGTGATGGTGATGGTGATGGTGACTACAGGAGAAGTGAGCGTGTGAAGAGAATGTTCGGCTATCCTGGACGCAGCCGATTTGGCTTCCCGATGAGAAGCCGCCATGTCCCTCCATACGTCGTACGAGTGACCATCCCGGGGACAGGCGAACTAATAGCGATTATTTTCAAATCCGATGATGACGATGACACTGAAAAGGGCTTTGAAGCTGTGTACCGTGTTTCTCAAGGTAAGGTTTGTAAATACCTGGATTTCTCTCTCCATTCCCTCCCCTCTCCGTTCCTTTTGTTGTATTGTTTTCTTAAATCTCGAGATCACCTCCTTGGACTTGTTTAGTGTTCGCCAGCTTGGGCTTTATATAGTAATAATAATAATTTAGAAAGTAATAATAATCTTTATAAAGGGTAACCACTTCAGTTGCAATCGCATAATATGATTTCAAAAAGAATATCGCAGGTACATCATTCAAAATTGTTATACCTCCCAACGTTTTCCGATTGGGTCAAAACTCACTAACTGCCTAGGGCGAACAAAACTCAGTAACTCCCTAGGAAAACAACAACTTGAACTTTCGACTCGCACGTGATCATGATCAGATCGTGCATGCTGAAACCGCTGCAAATTTGTTTTGCCAACCCGAGCGTCAAGCAAATAAGTCTTTCGCAGTATTCGTCCCATTTTTGAGGTGGGAGGTATATCATTAAGCACTTAATGACTGGGCCCACGGGAAACAGTGAGTTTCGTTTCCCCTCGACCTCAATGTTCCCCGAGGCGAACTCTCGGGGAAACAAAACTCACTGTTTCCTTTGGGGCCAGACGTTAAGTGCTCAATGTCCCCCGAAAACGTTTACGAAACGCTTCTATTCAGACAACAAATTTGTCATTCCTTTCCAGCATTCTTTTGATTTCTTTCTTTTCAATAAATTGAATAGTTTAGGATAATTTGCTTTTTATCTATTTCAGGCGCTGTTTTTGGTTGAAGGTGACGTGAAGGCCAGGCGAAATGATATTTTGCAATCTGTTGTCAGCTTTTAATTATTTCTTTTATCGTGTTTTGCATTTACTTTGCATCATAGTTCCAATTAGATTTTCATTCATTGTCTGTTTATCTTAGCTGTTAGTGAGATAATCAGTTAAGAAAGTAGTGTTTTAAGAAAAATATCAAGCTATGTTTTTTAACGTTCTCATTTTTTATTTTCTTTGCGTTGATTTATTTCAAAGACACGGCAACTGATATTGCCAAACGAATAATTTGTTAATAAGCCCTGCAACTCAGCTCAAGAAACATCTTTGGAGCTCGAGAGGCCAACATCAAAAGAAATTGTGTGTTTCACACGATGGGTCGTTTCCCCTAATCTGAAAAAGATAAAATGCAAATTCTTAAGTACACTGCCTGAACATGAATATGTGATATAAAACCATGTCTCACAATGGTCAGATTGATGTTTTTTGAAGTCTCTTAAAAGGGTTAGGTCGTGATATTTTAGTGCTAGTCAGTTCCGTATGCTTTCGTTAATTTCACTTTCCAAAAGCCGAATTACACGAAACAGAATCTTCCATGGACAAAATCACGGTAAAAGGTAGCAAACAAGGATGATTCCAAAGCATTGTAAATAACACTTTCTATACAAGTTGATATATAATTGAAAAAGTTAGAGCCGATATTTTTCAAGTGAGTAAGTCCCAATAGGTCACGTTCGATATATCAATATTCTAACATGGCTCCGAGGCTTTCAGGACAAACTTCTATATTTGGTGTTGTTTCCTTTGTATCTAAGTCTCTTTTGAGAATTGAGAGACAAAAGAAACTTAAAAAATTTACAATTTTGACCCGAAAGCCTCGGAGCCATTTTAGAATATTGATATACCGAACGTGGCCTATTAATGACATATTATACAAAACAATCCCAGCAGGCTTCGCAATCAGAAGGATCGTGATGTCCTTTATGGACAAAACTAGTTTTAATGCTGTTCAGATTGGGCTTATCATGTCAAGCGGAACTTCACTAATATTAAAGCAGTAGTACTGAAACGTAGAGGGTATTAAGCGTGTCCATAAATGTATCTTTTTATGTAACTAACATGGTGTGATGACTTAATACAACGCGTTAATTGACCCATGACATCCAACAAGAAGCCGTCTTTTTTAATCTGCCAGTTTGGACTGCCAATTTGTAAAATTTAACAATAACTGCATGAAAGTTATTGTGGATATGTTACAGTGGAAAGTTTAATAAAACACAAGAAAATTCCAAATCTGTAGAAACAGTCTTGCAAAATACAGTTGTCATGGAAACATCAAGTTTCAATACATATAATGGCAAATCATGTTATGTTCCCGGTTAAATTCCTTGATCATACGAGAACTTGCCAACATTTTTTCCAGCCAAATAAGATTAGTTGCGCGGTGGTTGCAAGATTTGGCACAAATAGTTTTAAGTCCATTTCCCAGTATATCAAACTAACAGCATCGCAGGACATGTAAGGAATGGCAGATGAAAAGATCCTCGTGATTTTATAAAAGGGAACAAAAAATCTTGTAGAATAATTGCATGCAAGCACTGATGGAGCCATAGTAAGTGCCTTGAACTCCGGCATCTGGGTGTCTATGAGAGCCTCCCGCGGTTTTTTGGGGAACAAGGGAACACGATCATTTATTTCAAGGGAGCAAGAGACATTTTTGAGACCACTTTGAGGAAACATTTGAGGGATATCTCTACTTTGAAAAGAACTTTGAAAAATAAAATTAAGGATCAATGGAATTTATCAATAGGGAGCAAGAGACTGTGATATCTCGTACGGAACAAGGAAGAAACACAGGTGAAATTTTCAAGGGATCAAGGAAACATGCTATCCCCTCCCCCTTCCTTCCCTTAAAGCCGCCTTCCCGCTCTGTCGTTCTCCTTGCAGTTCTCCTCAGTCTGGAATGAATTACTTTATTCCGGCAGGAGCCCATAACTAGGAGCGTACAGCTACTCCATAATTCTGTCACGGCGTTTTCACAGACCGATCTATTTTTATAAAATGCCGTTTAAGCAAGCAACTGGAATGATGATCCTGCTGGTATACTTTGGATCAATAGTGATCTAGTCGGCTTCACTTACAAACTGAATAATATAAAAGCAGAAACCGACACAAAGTGGGATGAATTGTTGAAGGTGTACTGTATTTCGGCTCGCCAAACCAGCCTTCTTCAGGTACCATATTTTTAGTTTGAATTTAACAGAAACTCAGACCCCCGCAGGAACCTCAGTGACCAATCACAAGCACGGATTTAATTTTTAACTGACGTCATTATTTCAGTAAGTCGACATGTCCACCTGAGGTGGCCATTTTTTTCCTTACCAATGCGCCCTCATGTAGACCGGAAATGACCTATTCCGCGGGGGAAAAGAAGCTTAAAATAGACCAGTGTGTAAAAATCCCGTGACAGAGGCTTCGTATAGGAGTTGCACGCTCCTAGTGATGGGCTCTTGATTCCGGTCAGTGACTCTCACTTGTATAAATAAGGATGTAAAATTTATCTTTTCCTGAGCTTTCTGTGATTGGTATTAATGCTAAATTTCTGCTGTCTACTGGGCTCGGAGGTAGCCTGTTTCAGGCTCTCGGTCAATGGGGACGATCGAACAAAGCGACCGGCGACGAGTGACGAACAGAGTCTGCTTTTTCTTTACCAGACCCTGCTCGTCGCGCGCCCGCTTTTTCGATCGTCGCCGTCGCCACTGACTGAGAGCCTGGAACAGGCTGGCTCGAAGGATTAAAAAAGCGACTACTAGTAGCTTAAGTGATGTTAGGCTTCAAGGCCCATCTTTCATATATTTATTTGCATTTTGAATAATGTTAAGGCAGTGAGCTTAGGTGTAACAAGGGTACTTGTAAGCCAATGCTGTAGATATTAAAAGAAGCACTTCTAATTTACTTATGTGGCCCGCTTACTATCACGCATGAATCCTGAAAAAGTGTTCCTCCGTCAGGTTTGTGATATCAATATTGAGACGTTCAAAGGTAACTGAAAACGAACTCTGTTTTAGCCACTTTTACTTCTCTTTGTGACTAAACCGTTGACCACTCTATGAAGCATTTAATTTATTTTATTTTATTGCACTGTTTTACCTAATTCTGTAGCATTAGCAGTACTCTTTACAAAACGCTTTTAAAATGATTTTTTTTTTTAAATAAACTGTCACTTCAGTTTGATTAGTTTGAACTAAATGTATTTTGACCTGGCACGTTAATAAAGATTTCATTCATTCATTTATTCATTCAGTCACTAGAATCATCCAATATCGTCGGCAATATCTTTGAGAGCCTCGATATTACTATAGCAAATATTAATCAACCGCGAATTTGAACTGCCATTTACATGCACCATTAATCACTTTCAGATTTGACTTAAGAGGCATTAATTCACATTGTAGATGGACTCAACAAGAATGAGAGCTTCTCGTTAGCCATAACACGTATTCTCGTGTATTCTCATAAAGCACGGATGCCGATGATGCATTGTTACTAATATTGAAAGAGGGAAGACCACGTGACAGTTAACAAAAATAACTGAGTTAGTCATATATCCCAGTGGTCACAACTGTTTCATTATATGTAATAACAAAAGTATATAAAGAAAGATTCGAAGCTACAGGTATATTTCAAGAAAGGAATACTCTAAGAGAAGTCACCTTGAAAACAAAGATGGAGAAAGTTCTGCTCGTTTTAACGGTATGCCTAGAGATAACTGAATGAAGTTACTTTATTTTGGGCTCATTTCACTTTCGTAACTTATTTATTAGTTCAATGCCTTATGAATTCACAGTATTTTAATCTTTCAATCTTTAATTTTTAAATTTAGCTGAATCGTTTCAGCCAATTTTTAACTTCGATGCGATGACTTCACAATGTTTCAAAAACCTTGGAAAATGCCTATACATTAACTTTACTGAAACTGAATGGAAGTGAAATTAATTGAGTGCCCATACTTCCGTGCTACCTTAATCCACTTAAGTTTACCGATTCAACTGTTTAATATACTGAGATGTTTCAGCCACATTTTGGTTGTTGAATGAAAATGAACTAACAATAAAAATTTAGAAGATCAGATGCGAAAAAGGGGAATTTTTGCAATCCCAGCAACAACGAACAGCTCAAATTAATTGTTTCACCATCATTCAAAATGTTGAAGCCAGTGCTTCAAAAAATAACGTTCTTCCGGTCCTCAATTGCGCGTGACTATTCAAATCTATTGAGCTTTTCTTCTAAGTTTGGGGTTAAATATAGCTTTGTTTTGCATTTTCTACACCATGAAAATTGTGATATTTTTTTTCCATTTACTAAGAAAGAACGCAACTAATTTATTGTAAAATCCTTCGCTTAGAGAATGGCTTTCCACAGCAATATCATTTTGTTTAGTAAATGATATTCTACTTAGACCATTAACATCCAGTAGTTCGTGAACAAATTCTGTTTATAATTTACCTCTAGATTAATAGTACTGAAATAATTATTCAGGTAAGGTGTAAGGAAGATAGGACTTAATGCGGTCTTTTGGGGAAAGGGTAACAATTAAACTATAGTAATCTTGGTAAACTACGAAAACTAGACTCCAGAATTGAGATAAACCTCCCCGAAGGACAATACCGGTTTCACCAGTACATGGAGTCAGTAGCAGAAACAACAAGGATTTAAATGAAAAAAAAAAAGCGGTTTACAAAAAGCCTCTCTTTACTTTTTCCCCTTCATGTTCTTCAACTGAGGAAAAAACGGGCGCCTTTAGCTTCTGAGATGCCTGTCTATGTAAGATTTTATTAAATAGAATATTGATCCTCCCCACAACTAGTCAATCTTCTTTATTTTAATTGCGTATGCGTGCATTCTTTCCACGATATCAGTAAACTCAATTAATGGAAAAGTGGCGCATAAACAAATCATAGAGAGATATTGGCTGATGTAATGTCAAAATCTAAGGACAATTGATTGAAGCTAGAGTTTTCAGCCTGTCCACATTATACAGATCATGTAATTTAGAACATGAATGAGTGATGAAAGTATCACAGCATACGTAAAATGTGTGTGATTTTAACTTCCTGACAAATTTTAAAAAGGCGAAGCCTCGTCAATTTGGTCACCTTTGCGCCATAAATTTGTGGTCGTATCAAAGGGGTATTAAAAGTGGGAAAATGACCGACCAAGAACTTTCTTTGGCCCAGAAAAAAGTGCATGCAATAGCGACACATTCGCACTTAACGGAGTGATTGTTAGTCCGAGCTCCACAACACTTAGTCCAAAAATCTGAACTCTGAACCTTGATGTAAGTTTATTGCAATTACAAATTTTCCTTTCGAGATGCGTTCGTTCTAACTAGCGAGGGAAGTTCCACTCAACTGAGCTGAACTGTTGGAGTGCTTTCCATGTCTAAAAGAAAACAAATTCGCGTGGGGGACATAAGTGATAATATAGTACAAGTGGTGGTACGCTCTGAAATGATTTCTTGCTCAGAATTCTGCGATTAGTTTGATGTTTACCAAAACTTAGAACGTGGAATTGTGATGCATACCCATTTCATTTCCAAGTTAATTTTAATATCAGTTTGACATACAGATGGATCCCGTTAATTCAAACTAACGAATGCCCCGTTATTTCAAACTCAAAACCATTGTCCTAGGATTTGCCCTTCAGTAATTTACTAACGGCTACTTCCAACTATTTTTCGCTTCCCCTGAGAGTTCGAAATAGCGGGATTTAAGTGTATAATGAAAACATTCTCCTGGCAGATGGTTATAACATGCACTTTGGCCACTCAGCCTTTGGATATTCCGTCCTCTGAATGGACAGAAGTGCTCGAGGACCTGGAGCCGAATAGTTGGTTACAACGACAAGAACAAGGTAGTATAAATTGATTGCAATCAATTCCATCTTTTTTTGGATCACTGAACTATTCCAATAAGTAGTGAACATTCTTGTGACGAAAATTAAATCAAGGAACCGACTGCTTTTGTCCTCCTCTTTTCCATTGTTTCCTTCATGCCTACCATCCCGTGCAAATGTTTCGTCTTGTAGAGAGAAGAGAAAGTAACAAACGCCTCAGGAAAACAATGCTGCTCCTACTTTCTCTATTTTTTTTAGAACAAAAAACTATGGCACAGCTAGGAAGGCATTGCACTTCTGGCGTGTATCGATATCATAACTCGACGATGCACGCTGAAGCATGAGTCAATTGTTCATATTTTCACTCCAACAGCTCGTTCTCGCCTAAGGTGCCACGTCTGCTTAGAGCCACTGTCTTTGGAGAATTGCACTGCAGTACAGACATCACGACTGTGTGAAACAGGCTTTAGCTGCTACACACTTCAGGCTTTTGAGACTCTCCTGAACACAGATATCTTTGCAAAAGGTTGTATTCCAGAAATGTTTTGTAGTGGAAACCGTGGGTGTGAGATTCTGAACCAATCTCGCAACGGCACGATCGAATCCTGCTCTTTCTATTGTTGCCACACGGAGCAATGCAATGCTGGTTCGAGTGTTTCATCAACATCTCCACCCCTTCCAACGACCACCGAAGAACCTGCAACTTTAACGGCGGTTCCAACGACTCAACCTGGTAAAGTATCTCTTAAGAATGTACCATTGACGATAAAACAGAGAAATGCAAACTTTTTTCGTATGTCGGATATGGCAAATTTGTTGTAAAGTTTGGGTGAGNCCTTGAACTCCGGCATCTGGGTGTCTATGAGAGCCTCCCGCGGTTTTTTGGGGAACAAGGGAACACGATCATTTATTTCAAGGGAGCAAGAGACATTTTTGAGACCACTTTGAGGAAACATTTGAGGGATATCTCTACTTTGAAAAGAACTTTGAAAAATAAAATTAAGGATCAATGGAATTTATCAATAGGGAGCAAGAGACTGTGATATCTCGTACGGAACAAGGAAGAAACACAGGTGAAATTTTCAAGGGATCAAGGAAACATGCTATCCCCTCCCCCTTCCTTCCCTTAAAGCCGCCTTCCCGCTCTGTCGTTCTCCTTGCAGTTCTCCTCAGTCTGGAATGAATTACTTTATTCCGGCAGGAGCCCATAACTAGGAGCGTACAGCTACTCCATAATTCTGTCACGGCGTTTTCACAGACCGATCTATTTTTATAAAATGCCGTTTAAGCAAGCAACTGGAATGATGATCCTGCTGGTATACTTTGGATCAATAGTGATCTAGTCGGCTTCACTTACAAACTGAATAATATAAAAGCAGAAACCGACACAAAGTGGGATGAATTGTTGAAGGTGTACTGTATTTCGGCTCGCCAAACCAGCCTTCTTCAGGTACCATATTTTTAGTTTGAATTTAACAGAAACTCAGACCCCCGCAGGAACCTCAGTGACCAATCACAAGCACGGATTTAATTTTTAACTGACGTCATTATTTCAGTAAGTCGACATGTCCACCTGAGGTGGCCATTTTTTTCCTTACCAATGCGCCCTCATGTAGACCGGAAATGACCTATTCCGCGGGGGAAAAGAAGCTTAAAATAGACCAGTGTGTAAAAATCCCGTGACAGAGGCTTCGTATAGGAGTTGCACGCTCCTAGTGATGGGCTCTTGATTCCGGTCAGTGACTCTCACTTGTATAAATAAGGATGTAAAATTTATCTTTTCCTGAGCTTTCTGTGATTGGTATTAATGCTAAATTTCTGCTGTCTACTGGGCTCGTAGGTAGCCTGTTTCAGGCTCTCGGTCAATGGGGACGATCGAACAAAGCGACCGGGCTACGAGTTACGAACAGAGTCTGCTTTTTCTTTACCAGACCCTGCTCGTCGCGCGCCCGCTTTTTCGATCGTCGCCGTCGCCACTGACTGAGAGCCTGGAACAGGCTGGCTCGAAGGATTAAAAAAGCGACTACTAGTAGCTTAAGTGATGTTAGGCTTCAAGGCCCATCTTTCATATATTTATTTGCATTTTGAATAATGTTAAGGCAGTGAGCTTAGGTGTAACAAGGGTACTTGTAAGCCAATGCTGTAGATATTAAAAGAAGCACTTCTAATTTACTTATGTGGCCCGCTTACTATCACGCATGAATCCTGAAAAAGTGTTCCTCCGTCAGGTTTGTGATATCAATATTGAGACGTTCAAAGGTAACTGAAAACGAACTCTGTTTTAGCCACTTTTACTTCTCTTTGTGACTAAACCGTTGACCACTCTATGAAGCATTTAATTTATTTTATTTTATTGCACTGTTTTACCTAATTCTGTAGCATTAGCAGTACTCTTTACAAAACGCTTTTAAAATGATTTTTTTTTTTAAATAAACTGTCACTTCAGTTTGATTAGTTTGAACTAAATGTATTTTGACCTGGCACGTTAATAAAGATTTCATTCATTCATTTATTCATTCAGTCACTAGAATCATCCAATATCGTCGGCAATATCTTTGAGAGCCTCGATATTACTATAGCAAATATTAATCAACCGCGAATTTGAACTGCCATTTACATGCACCATTAATCACTTTCAGATTTGACTTAAGAGGCATTAATTCACATTGTAGATGGACTCAACAAGAATGAGAGCTTCTCGTTAGCCATAACACGTATTCTCGTGTATTCTCATAAAGCACGGATGCCGATGATGCATTGTTACTAATATTGAAAGAGGGAAGACCACGTGACAGTTAACAAAAATAACTGAGTTAGTCATATATCCCAGTGGTCACAACTGTTTCATTATATGTAATAACAAAAGTATATAAAGAAAGATTCGAAGCTACAGGTATATTTCAAGAAAGGAATACTCTAAGAGAAGTCACCTTGAAAACAAAGATGGAGAAAGTTCTGCTCGTTTTAACGGTATGCCTAGAGATAACTGAATGAAGTTACTTTATTTTGGGCTCATTTCACTTTCGTAACTTATTTATTAGTTCAATGCCTTATGAATTCACAGTATTTTAATCTTTCAATCTTTAATTTTTAAATTTAGCTGAATCGTTTCAGCCAATTTTTAACTTCGATGCGATGACTTCACAATGTTTCAAAAACCTTGGAAAATGCCTATACATTAACTTTACTGAAACTGAATGGAAGTGAAATTAATTGAGTGCCCATACTTCCGTGCTACCTTAATCCACTTAAGTTTACCGATTCAACTGTTTAATATACTGAGATGTTTCAGCCACATTTTGGTTGTTGAATGAAAATGAACTAACAATAAAAATTTAGAAGATCAGATGCGAAAAAGGGGAATTTTTGCAATCCCAGCAACAACGAACAGCTCAAATTAATTGTTTCACCATCATTCAAAATGTTGAAGCCAGTGCTTCAAAAAATAACGTTCTTCCGGTCCTCAATTGCGCGTGACTATTCAAATCTATTGAGCTTTTCTTCTAAGTTTGGGGTTAAATATAGCTTTGTTTTGCATTTTCTACACCATGAAAATTGTGATATTTTTTTTCCATTTACTAAGAAAGAACGCAACTAATTTATTGTAAAATCCTTCGCTTAGAGAATGGCTTTCCACAGCAATATCATTTTGTTTAGTAAATGATATTCTACTTAGACCATTAACATCCAGTAGTTCGTGAACAAATTCTGTTTATAATTTACCTCTAGATTAATAGTACTGAAATAATTATTCAGGTAAGGTGTAAGGAAGATAGGACTTAATGCGGTCTTTTGGGGAAAGGGTAACAATTAAACTATAGTAATCTTGGTAAACTACGAAAACTAGACTCCAGAATTGAGATAAACCTCCCCGAAGGACAATACCGGTTTCACCAGTACATGGAGTCAGTAGCAGAAACAACAAGGATTTAAATGAAAAAAAAAAAGCGGTTTACAAAAAGCCTCTCTTTACTTTTTCCCCTTCATGTTCTTCAACTGAGGAAAAAACGGGCGCCTTTAGCTTCTGAGATGCCTGTCTATGTAAGATTTTATTAAATAGAATATTGATCCTCCCCACAACTAGTCAATCTTCTTTATTTTAATTGCGTATGCGTGCATTCTTTCCACGATATCAGTAAACTCAATTAATGGAAAAGTGGCGCATAAACAAATCATAGAGAGATATTGGCTGATGTAATGTCAAAATCTAAGGACAATTGATTGAAGCTAGAGTTTTCAGCCTGTCCACATTATACAGATCATGTAATTTAGAACATGAATGAGTGATGAAAGTATCACAGCATACGTAAAATGTGTGTGATTTTAACTTCCTGACAAATTTTAAAAAGGCGAAGCCTCGTCAATTTGGTCACCTTTGCGCCATAAATTTGTGGTCGTATCAAAGGGGTATTAAAAGTGGGAAAATGACCGACCAAGAACTTTCTTTGGCCCAGAAAAAAGTGCATGCAATAGCGACACATTCGCACTTAACGGAGTGATTGTTAGTCCGAGCTCCACAACACTTAGTCCAAAAATCTGAACTCTGAACCTTGATGTAAGTTTATTGCAATTACAAATTTTCCTTTCGAGATGCGTTCGTTCTAACTAGCGAGGGAAGTTCCACTCAACTGAGCTGAACTGTTGGAGTGCTTTCCATGTCTAAAAGAAAACAAATTCGCGTGGGGGACATAAGTGATAATATAGTACAAGTGGTGGTACGCTCTGAAATGATTTCTTGCTCAGAATTCTGCGATTAGTTTGATGTTTACCAAAACTTAGAACGTGGAATTGTGATGCATACCCATTTCATTTCCAAGTTAATTTTAATATCAGTTTGACATACAGATGGATCCCGTTAATTCAAACTAACGAATGCCCCGTTATTTCAAACTCAAAACCATTGTCCTAGGATTTGCCCTTCAGTAATTTACTAACGGCTACTTCCAACTATTTTTCGCTTCCCCTGAGAGTTCGAAATAGCGGGATTTAAGTGTATAATGAAAACATTCTCCTGGCAGATGGTTATAACATGCACTTTGGCCACTCAGCCTTTGGATATTCCGTCCTCTGAATGGACAGAAGTGCTCGAGGACCTGGAGCCGAATAGTTGGTTACAACGACAAGAACAAGGTAGTATAAATTGATTGCAATCAATTCCATCTTTTTTTGGATCACTGAACTATTCCAATAAGTAGTGAACATTCTTGTGACGAAAATTAAATCAAGGAACCGACTGCTTTTGTCCTCCTCTTTTCCATTGTTTCCTTCATGCCTACCATCCCGTGCAAATGTTTCGTCTTGTAGAGAGAAGAGAAAGTAACAAACGCCTCAGGAAAACAATGCTGCTCCTACTTTCTCTATTTTTTTTAGAACAAAAAACTATGGCACAGCTAGGAAGGCATTGCACTTCTGGCGTGTATCGATATCATAACTCGACGATGCACGCTGAAGCATGAGTCAATTGTTCATATTTTCACTCCAACAGCTCGTTCTCGCCTAAGGTGCCACGTCTGCTTAGAGCCACTGTCTTTGGAGAATTGCACTGCAGTACAGACATCACGACTGTGTGAAACAGGCTTTAGCTGCTACACACTTCAGGCTTTTGAGACTCTCCTGAACACAGATATCTTTGCAAAAGGTTGTATTCCAGAAATGTTTTGTAGTGGAAACCGTGGGTGTGAGATTCTGAACCAATCTCGCAACGGCACGATCGAATCCTGCTCTTTCTATTGTTGCCACACGGAGCAATGCAATGCTGGTTCGAGTGTTTCATCAACATCTCCACCCCTTCCAACGACCACCGAAGAACCTGCAACTTTAACGGCGGTTCCAACGACTCAACCTGGTAAAGTATCTCTTAAGAATGTACCATTGACGATAAAACAGAGAAATGCAAACTTTTTTCGTATGTCGGATATGGCAAATTTGTTGTAAAGTTTGGGTGAGTTAGAAAATGTTGCATTTGCTAGACGAAATTTTCTTCGGCCTGGTTATTCACCAAAAATATTGAAACAATTTGGTATAGTATAACTGAGAATAAAAACGTTTGCTTCACGTTATAACCGTGAATTGCGACACAACAAGCACTTTGAGAGAGTTTTCCATAAATCAGAACACTCGATACTTTGTATTAAAATTTACTGTTTCCTTCAAATCTTTGTGTTCTTTTCTGCACAATCATATACTAGTCCATGCCATCTGTACCATTTATTTACCATTCAGTGGGTTTGATATCATTTATGCGTGGACTTTCCCATAATTATCATGAAAGGTATTTTAGTAACGTTGCAGACAAGGGGATTTTACATGAAACTACAAAGACACTTTCATTTGAGCTTCGCTGTTACAGAATGATTGGAGAAAATTTGTATCATTCATTTCTCTGAAAGGATGCTTTAAGATCCTTTAAAAATCATATCTTCAGCCACTTGAGGTTTATGTTACGGTCTTTATCTTCAGAGCAATGTGGTGGTTCACTGTCGGGCTCATCCGGGAGCTTTTCATCTCCTAATTACCCTGGCAACTACCCTAACAACGCCCGTTGTATTTGGACAACCACTGTTCCACGAGGATCACAATTCAGAATAGAATTTGTCTTTTTTCACACTGAAAGGCGGTAAGTCCAGAAGACCTGCTCAATATTTTTTCGCCTCTGCTGTGATAAAGCGTCATCCAGCTAAAAAACGCAAATTTAACAACAGCCACTCTAGTCCCTAAACTATCCCTCTCTCTACCCTACTGATTAGGGTTGAACCAAGTTGAGAGAAGAGAGAGTCCTTCCTCTCTCTCACCTGAGGTCCGTTTCTCAAAAGCTTCAGGAACTTTTTGGGCCCTCCAGGCCGATTTTAATTAGAGAATCTGTACCTAAAAACCGAGAGGTGTATACGCCTGAAGCTGTTTATCTGTCAGGCTCTCACACGACAAATCTTGTAAAACAGTGTATTTATAACTGAACTTCATTTTTGATTCTATTATAATAATTCAATGAAGATTTTACCGAGTTGAAATAAATAAAGTATGTTTGTCTGTATGTATGAAGAGAACCTCTCTTCCTATTAAAAATTCGTGAATAAAACAGCTCTGTAATCATAAGGTTTGAGATTTTGCTACGGCTTTCCTGGTGCGAAAACTTTTTGGGAGGTTCGAGAAACGGACCTCTGGATCCCATTCGTATGTAAGGTAGGAAACGTTCAAGGAGTGCAAGGGCTGGACAATAAATAAATTAAACCAAAATAAATATATTTGCACGCTTTGGTTTCCAACAAATTACCTCCTCCTTGAATTTTTTTTCTTAGGAGCTTGTGTTCTGCAAACCGAGCTCAGAGACGATTAAACGCAATTAAATATTAGACTACGCATAAAATAATTATGACCGTATCTTTCATTTACATACATGTAGTGGCTCTCACTGTGCCGGTTGAAGGAAAAACAATTCTTAGTTCGCATATATGCGAGTCATGGTGACGTCTTTATTTTCTAAAATCCAAAACTAAAGGGCCACCAGAGTTACTATCCTCATCAGTCCTAAGAGGGGGTAAATGCATACCTTTCAACAACTTTTCAGTTCAATAGCTTGCTTCGTCTGAAAACAGGCACATGTTGAATTTCAGAGTTATGGTGGTGCGTGACTGTATAGAGCTATGAACGCGTTTGTCGAAAAATATATACTTATCTCGTGATTTTAAGCCTTTTTAGAAGTTAAAGCATTAGGAAAAGTGCTTACATTTAAATGTTTGCCTGATCAGTTCAGTTAATCAGTCACTTAGATAACCAAAGTAAGTTCCAGATGTTTACACTATTTCCGGCCGCCATGTTTGTACCATGGAGGTACACCAACATGGCGGCTCCATACTGGGCTCTGCCAATTTGCGCAAAATATTTCGACGAATATTTCAAGTTTGGGAAAACGTACAGACCTAAAACTTGGGGAAGTGTCTTCTTTATTCATCTCCTATAACATCATAATTTCTTGACTTTATACACTAAATGGTTTTCGAATTATTTTTTTATTGCATGACAATGAAACCCAAGAGGAGTCAACAATTAATTAAAAGAAATAGATTTCATGCTCATACAGCTCCAGTGAATATACGCAGCTAGAAACATGCAGAGAAGTAGTGTGTTCACCATGTCCCTAATTGAACCTGTCTTTTGATACGTAGGTATGATTACTTAAACGTCTATGTGGGGAGACGGCTTGTCCGTCATTTAACTGGAAAAGGCAGCCACAAAGACAAAGTAACTCACATACAAGGAACGGGCGAGTTGATAAGCATCGTTTTCAGATCTGACCACAGTGTCACCAGGAGGGGATTCTATGCTAAGTACCGCATAGGGCACGGTAGGATCCTTATTATAATCTTATGTAATATATAATTCCCGCACAAAATTAATTAACCCAAAGTGAGATTTTAGACGCAATAAGAAGGTAATTGTTTCATTGCTGATAAATTCTTGAAAACCATTCTGTATGTCGTCCTCAGACGAACATCATCAGCCATACTTTTAACTTTCTTTAAGTATTCAATAAACTGAGAAGCTCCATCGAATACTTGCCACTGATTAGATAGTTCATCATGCGAGTTTCTTAAGTCACAGCGTTGAGGAAAACAGTTCCCACAAAATGTAACAAAAAAAAAGTAGTTTGATTCTAGTAAGAATCTTTTTTTCTAAATATCACTCCTACTCAAAAATCACTTTCTCTTTTAAATCGAAGCTCCCCTATTAGAATTAACGCCTCCATTGTCAAGTGACATTCTGATTTCGTGTCAAGTGAATTATGTTTTAAAATAAACTTCAGCGATATAATAACATGACGTTTCGGCGACGACATGTCGCCATTATCAAATGAAAATTATTATATAAGCTTGGCAAAGTGAAGTAAATTATTAAGTCTACTTGCTTACATGTGACGACTGATGTAACGACTATGAGAATCCCAATTGTTATAACTTTGTTGTCGCTTTTTGAAATACTGTATGACATTACAAAGTATTTGTCGAAGAAATAACTGAATTAAGCACCCGGTCCCACTTAGCGCTCTGCCCTACAAGCGCCCTCAGCTCCCACGAGCAACAAAAAGTAAATTTGCCCTCGACGCGCTAAACTAAATCCTTGAGACAACTCATGAAGACCTACATAACTACATAACTACATGCATATTTGTGTTTTCCTCTAGAACCCACATGTGGAGGACCATTGACCGGTTCATCCGGAAACTTTAAATCTCCTGGTTACCCTGGTAATTACCCAAATAATATCGAGTGCAAATGGACTATTACTGTGCCGAGAAGATCCTACCTTGTATTGGCTTTTCGTACCTTTGACACTGAACGATGGTGGGTGGAAAGAAATTTTAGGTTGAGATATAAAGATTATTACATGTTATGAGTTTGGTATCGTTGATATTCACCAGTTTGATTTTCAATATCATATTGCGAAAAAGATGGTCAAAGTGTGAGAGCAATATGATATTGCATACCTTGTTACACACTCAGTACAGAACAACAAAACACGGCTTGATTTGATTCCTTCGGATGAAATCAGACTCCAAAAGCCTCCAAACGCTTCAAGATCGAGTATTAATCGCTAATGAGAGAGAGAAGTTTAATCTCAGATCTCTTTGTCGGGCCCTCACACTTCAAATATATATATTAAGAAAAAAACCCGTTGCTCTCCCATTGCATTTCTGTGACATTGTTATATGCATTTGTAAGAGATATTTTTCAAGTTTGAAATGAAAATTGTGTTAACTTAATCATGTTGTTTTTTTCCTAGTCATGATTACGTTAAAATTTTCCGTGGGAGCCGTTTGACGCGTAAATTGAGCGGTAGAAACGGTCGTTACAGAGGCCGAGACGATAAAAGGTTCTTGTATCAAGACGATGACGAATGCGATGATGATGATGATGATGATGATGATGATGTTGATTATGACGATGACAACAACAACAACGACGACAACTATAACGGTTATCAAAGTGTTGCTGATGATTCAGAAAGAACGTATCGCCGGTACACGTATGCCCGACGGGCGAAGAACCGCCATGTGTCCCGTACTAAGAGCCGCTATCGTCCTAGAGGCCGCCATGGCTCCCAGGCGAAAGGCCGTTATGGGTCCCGGGGGAGAAACCGTCATCGTTCACCGTACGTTGCCCGAGTGTACATGCGAGGAACGGGAGAGCAGATATCAATCGTTTTCAAATCCAATCACCGTAATAGAAGAAAAGGATTCCTCGCTTCGTATCGAGTTTCACAAGGTGACTTCATTTGACATTGTTATTTTACTTGTCCCAGTGGCAGGATGTACGGGAGTCAAATTTGGATCGACGGCTTACAAGCGCACTTAAAAGAGAATTAGTTCAAATAATAGCAAGAATTTTCAATTTGATCACCGTGGGACATGGTCATTTTTGTTTCCTCGATTTTCCATTAAACAAAAGTCAGTTTTGAACAATGACATGACCCGAATAATACCTTTGTGTTACCGCACCACCGCAATAATTATAAATTGCAAAACGTTTTTACATGAATAAGTATTATATGACTGAGATAATTACTTCAATGTGATTGGATGAGTTAATTAATTATTAATTATCGTGAATTCTTAAGCACTGCAGTACAAATTAACACGCGCGCGTTGGCAGTTTTCTCAGTCATATAATAAATGAGTGAAAGCTCGAGCAATCAAGGATTTACACTACTTGTGATATTTGAAAATTCTTTCAAATTGCATTCGCAGTAAGGCTCTTGCAATTTTGAAAGAGTTTTCATATATCACTCGTAGTGTAAATCTTTAACTTCACTCCCATTCATACCATCACCCAGTCAAAAATGACTACAATTATGTTGCTCCAGATCTAAGCCCAACGCACGCTATTTGTCACTCATTTCTTTACGATTTAAAAATAACGATATCGTTTACTTATTTCAGGTCGCTATGGTGGTGGATAATTCTTCAAGTCCCAAGAACAACACAGCGAGAAGCAAATGACAGGGTGGATGGAAGACTTCACAAATTGTTAATTTTTATGTTATATTTTTATCATCTTGTTTGAATTATTAATTTTCGCCTGTTTTCGTTGCCGTCTTTCAGTTGCAGATGAAACTAGCAAATAAATGAATAGCAAAGAAACATGAATCTGAATTACTTTCTTGTCACAAGTTTTGGTAGTTCGAATTCTAGTAGTCTCGGCTATCCAAAAGATTCACTCAGGTCATTGCACACGTGATATGATGATTTCATATCACGAAGTACGATGTACCCCTGTAAAAAACGTTTAAGCCCACTACAAATTCCCATCATCTGCCTTCTTAGCTTTCCCTTCATTCTCCTTCCAATAAGAAGTGCTGAACTGCATCGTCCATTGCGATTGAAAATTTCTTCATCTATCGTTAACTAGTTCTCTCATCAACAATTTCTTTCACGAAGAAGAATAATCCATCGAGCCCGCGCTTGTGTATAACATATCTTCTGAGTTCTGGAAACATGATTTTCCCTGGATAAAAGATAATAGCATCAACATTAAAACATTCAAGGACACAGACTTCATTTTTGGCAAGCATCACGACATTAAAGAAGACAAGCTTCGCTAAAATCATTCACCTTACAATTATTGCTAAGGACTAATACAGTGCGAAAGGCAGGTTGACAGCTAATTATATAGCAGATAGGACAGGCTATATCTGTTTGCCCTGTATTGTTCCTTTCTCCTTTCTTACCTTGGTTTAAATTTTATAGTTACATCAGGAAAGATTCTCTCTTGCTATTTGTTACTCAAATTTGAATTTACTCAAATTTTAAATCATTTGAAGAACGCGCATCTCCTCCCTATAAGCATATGCAAATGAACCAATATGGAGCGTTCTGTATTGGGTTAATGTTAAACAATAGGAGGGTCTGGATGGGGTTAACTGCAGTTGACAAATGGCACGTTGAAATTTAGGCTTTAATTTCATTAGAAGTTGCTGGTAAGAAATTGAGATGCTTGTTTTGTAAATAGATGGAAACTAGAAAACAAAGAATTAAAAAAAGAAGGGTTTTGCGTTTAACTAGATGCATATTTTCTATGAAAGGAATCAATAAGGGAAGGTTTAAGCCATTTAAGGTCTTCGCTAGTATATTAACAGCCACAGCTTAACCGATCACTGACAAATGACGCAAATTTAACTGACAAATAGACAAAATTTGTGATGACTGACATTCGCAACGAGTCAAACTCAGTAGGCCATTTTCGGGTTACCTTGTGCCTCTGTTTCAAAACGAGTCTTCGTGCAAACCCTTTGTTATGAAAATAAATTTGATTTGCATGAGAATGAATCTGCAGGCGGAACACGTTTTCATACCAGACTCGTTTTGACAAGAGGCAAAAGGCAACTCGGAAATATTCTGTTAAATGCCGGGTCAAGGACTCTGATTTTTAATACCTCTGGGTTTTGATCGCGAAAATGAGTTCATGCTGTCCGCTGGTCAATTCCTCTTGTTGTCACCAGTTTTACCCTGAAAATGAACCAACATGTTTTCATTAACTAGAGTTGATTCTGTTAAATTCATTGTACATCCTTGCTGTTGATAATTTCTCATGTCATTAATGCAAACACGATCGCATGTATATACACAGGATTGTGAGATTCCCTTCAAGCTAAGCTCGACAAGGAAATAATTGTTATAATTTGAACACTTCCTGTGGCTGTTTAGGAAGTGGCATAGCCCTAATTACTTCATATTTTCCCTCGATGAACCCAGGAGCAATCGGATGGGGTTTACTGATAGCTGAGAATTGGTCAAATTTTAACTGCCGAATGAGAAATGAGGCGCCTTTTAATCTGATAGCTAAGTTCTGAGATTTACAAGCTTATTGATTATTGAGAAATGAGCTGACTGATGGATGAGAAATGCAGTTCAATTTCAACAACGAAGTGCGTGAAGTCTAAAAATAGAATGCAAATTACTGGAACCCTGCGAGAGTCAGACAGCATAGGCGTTTTCTGAGAGAAATAGCAGGAAAATGAACGCCAAATTTTCGTTTTAAAAATTGTTTTAGGAACACTTGCTTACGCGCTTGAAAAAGCTTCAAATTTTCCACCATTCCGTTTTGTTTGTCTGAGTGTGTCTGAGTTATGACATCACTCGAACGCTTTGCTATTCGTTCAAAACTGACTTTCCATCTTTTCTAATTTTAAATATCACGTTGTCACCATAACAACATACACAGTTTTAATAGACCAGCCGCTTCATGATAATTGGTTTTTACCGGACTGTTTATAGAAAAATAAATAAGCAATAAATTGTCAGACCAATATGTGAATGGAAGTAGGCTGTATTTAGTTCCAGCTACTTCTTATTGTCTGTGAATAATACTGTTTTCCATGGTAATTTACAGAAGTCCTTAGGTTTTGTGCCACAATCAACACATCTAAATGCAATCATTGACTTCTTCTTCAATCGGATTGGCTGAGAAATTTCAAAACAAATGGTCATCCAATGCATTGACAGTGCTTCCTCCGTTGGTATAATTGTCTTATAAGGCGACAAAATCGGTAATTCAGCGGCTAGGAGACTTGTAACTACGAGCGAAGTTCTCTACACCAAGTATTCTTAAAAGCCGAGTGTCCCTCTGTAGGATGAATAACATCACCACATATGGAGACGGAATGAAGATGAGGAGATTCGAGTCGATCGCTTTGATTTTTAACGGATGTTTTTCGCTTTTACTTTCAGTGACAATCTGCCTAGTGAATATTGTTTTAATCGCGGCGATCGCCAAGTTTCCTCTTCGCCCAGAGAGACCGATTGATAAAATACATAATGCTTTCTTCTACACTAACCTTATGGCCAGCATCATGTTTCTGCCCTATTTTGGAGTGGCTGAGATCTTACATGGCTTAGAAATCACTTCAAGAACCATCCGCTTCCCAAGCTACTTGTCTACAACATTTTTTGTCTTCGCTCAAGCCAACGTACAAGTGTCTCTAGTCATTTCGATCGAGCGATGTACAGCCTTCGTTTCACCGTATCTTCACCGTCGATTGACGACAAGGAAAAAAATTGTGATCACAGTATTTTTAATGGAGTCATTTTTACTGCTTTCTGTGTGTTTATCGTTTACTGGGATAAACGAACAGGTCTTCTACACAATTTACATCCATGTGTTCTTTTCATTTCCGATGTCGTTACCAATTATCACAACGGGATTCACTTATTGGAAAATAAAAACTAGAAACAGAATTACCAGTAATGAGATTCCTCAGTCAGTGGAAAAGTTAGAACGTCACAGGAAGCATTCCTCACGAACGGCGAGAAAATATCTCACTGTTGTTTCTTTATTTTTGGGTCCGTTGATTTTAAGCATTTTACCTTGGTATGTTGTGAAAGTCGGTGAACTGACAGACCGGAACGCCATTTTAGCAAACGATGTGGGATTCTTCTGGCAACGCCTGTCAATATCACTTGTGTTTCTACCAGATGCTCTTGGGCCAATAACTCTCACGATTCGCTTTGAAGCGTACTATAACTCAGTGAGGCGCTTTTTTCGAAGATAAGCATTTAATTATTGTTCCGCCATTAATCGTCTTTGCAAATGGCTGAGACTGTAAATCGCTTTGAAGCGACAATTCCGGTTACAAACATTTCGGTGAAAAAAATAAAAACAAATTGAGGCTGTCTTCTCTGAGAGAGAACCTCTGAATGAGGTTTTTTTTGGCCGTCAAAAAGGCACGAATACGAGTCATTTTAACGACAATTTGGATTTGGGAAATTTAATTGCAAATACTTCCTTGAAAGTCAGACTGTTCAGCCCAACTACTGGGAAAACAGTATAATTATATCTGGTGGAAAAGGTCTAATTGTGAGCCCATTGTGAATGGCATTTGTCAGTAAAATTCCAATTCTCAGTTTTGTCACTAAAATATGGGAAATTTGATGTTGCAAAGAAAAAAGACGAGTAAATAAATAGACATTTCCTCAAAAAATTTTAATTAAAAGTTCAAATACATTAAATACATACTTACAAAACGTGACATCTGTAACATCAAAGCTATTTAAGAATAAAGTTTTTCTGTGTTTGTTTGTTTTCAGGCTTTGGGTAGATAATTTTATCAGGCATTAGATAGGCTAGCTGCTATCAGCGCATTTAGAGTGCAGTTAATGGACTTTCTTGCTATTATCAATATCAACAATCTTGTAAGGTTATTTTAATAAGGGAAGGCCGGATAAGCTACAAGACTACCTTAATCTTAGACACGCAATAGATCATTTTCGATTTATTAAAATTCAGCCTAAAACAATAGACCTCAGTACGAGGCTCTGGGAAATAACTACAGAGTTTGTGGGGTTTATTCCCCAGAGCCTCTTGCTGAGGTCTATTGTGTTAGGCTGAATTTTAATATGTCGAAATTGGTCTATACACGTAATGTCACAAATATGTTACAAAAACTAGTACGCTCGGACAATGATCATTAATATACAAGGAACTTACGGGCAAACACAACGGTAATGGCAACCAGAACATCGCCTAACAAAAGGCTTAAATTAGTAGGACAACGAATCTGCACGTGCATTAGGCACTTTTGTACTTTCCGCAGCCGTTCTGTGCAAATCAGCAGCATGAAATGACCAGTTTCCAAGTTTTTTTGAGGGCGTGAGCTACTCCGGCTATTTTTTTGTTTTTTCTTTTTGGCGAAATTGTAAAGTATTAAATAAATACATTTTCTAATAATACAGCCCATGCATTGTTGTTCTTGTTTTTTTTTTTCCTACCGTTTTTAGGCGAAGTCTGTAAAATTAGAGTATGTACTGATTAATAAATAATTCATTCAAGTTTCTTTTAAATATTGTAATTCTTTTTTCGAGTCAAATACACTATTGAGTGACTAATTGCTAAAAGCTAAGCTTAATGTTGCAGTTGCGTGGGTGTGTTTATGTTAAGAAAGAAATTCGTTTTAAAATGTGACAAATGGCATGTTTATCTCCAAATAAATCATATTTTATTAAAAACGACAGCACACGCGCAAAAAATATTATTCATTTTGCTTAAAACCTCTTCAAGCCCGAGTTGGAGATAATGTCAATATGACATAAATAAAGCCAATAACGACTTCATTGCATTCTGGATAATCTTACTGAAGTTAATCGTACCAATCTTAATTACTCTCACTCAATCTTACTAATCTTACCGGTGAAGATTGGTTAGAATGCGTATGGTATTAACAAGTTTTAGCATGGTGACGAAAAAAATGACATCGAGGTTGAGGGAAATGAATAAATCAGTTATTCTGTTTTAGTGCCCTAAGCCTGGGCACCATGTTAGAATTTTGTTATATTAATCCTTGACACATTGCAGTTCCCAACATTTGATCCGTTCTACATGTTGTTCTAAAATAATGCCTGTCAAATAAGCGAGTGGTAGGAGTAACTTTTTGCACGGCTTAGAAATCACATTGACGTAATCCAAATAAAAAACGTTGTATTAATTGAATAAAGATGGTGAATTTTATAAAAATAACAATAACCTAAACAAACGCGAGAATAACTGAATATTCATTCTATGAACTCACAAGTTAAATTGAAAGGTGGCAGACAAAAAAGGGAAAATTAGTTTTTATACACTCTCTGGTTCGAGGTCAGAGCAGAAGAATATGTTTGGGGTTTTATAGCTTTGGTCTGGTGTATGCTGTGAAGTCTCAGATAATCTGGGTTCTTTTGGTTGGAATTTGAATTATTCGTGTTTCTGCCTTGTCAGTAAATGTGGGAAATAAAAATGAATGACAATAAAATTTTTACATTCCTTCTGTTAGCGTTCAACTGCTTTGAAATCAGTATTTCGTTATAGTTTATAAACGAATGTGGTTATTATTTAAAAATATGACTTTGCATTTACTTTTGTTGAAACTAATTTTTCAGAATTACTGGTTGGCGCTTGTGAAAACAGAAAAAAAAATTGTGAGAAAATGAGTATTAATGGCGTGAATGAATCTCCACCTTGTGAAAAATTTAATGAAATTTTGGTTGAGTGCAAAGATCTTTTGATAAAAAAAGTAACAATTAGCGTAATTGTAAAAATAAATTTCAGAAAGAACGGCGTGTTTTTTTCTACCAGAGGAAGTGGTTTTTTTTGTGTTTTTTTTATGCGCATAACAACGCTGACATTTGCTTCGGAGAAGGTTTTAGCCGAAATATATTCTACTTTTCCGCGCACCCAATTCTCGTTGTACAATTCTTGATATATATCTTTGGTACAACGATTTTATCATTGCGAGCCAGCCACTGAAGGTCTATATTTTTTTTTGTTTGCTTTTAGTTTGCAAGGCAGCTGCAAAAACAAATTTTAAATTCATAAATGGGGAATTCGTTTAAATTTTCAAAAACCTGATTTTCTCTCTGGTCTTTCCCAGGTAAGGGTCGAGAGAACAAAAATTATTGTTGTTTTTTTTTTTCAGGTGCTTATTTTCATCGATGGATGACTCTCTTGTGTTCATCAGTGTTCAGAAAGGAATTGTTTTCCAAAAAACGTGCAAGTGACCGCAATTTGGCAACATGTCCTGTTTCGCACTCGCACCCTTGATAAATTGCTATATTGACAGCGTGTTAGACAAATAATCGAAACACAGCCTGAATTTTTCGTGATTATTAACATCGCTCGTTAATTTGCTGACGTCGTCGTTTTATCTTTTTTAATACTTTTTTTAGTGATCGCCATATTTCTTTCAGCTTACGAGTCTGTGACTGTTATCGCTGAAAGGCAATATCTTGTATCTTTGTTACATTACAGTTTGTTTGCTTTCTGTCACCTGCCTACCAAGCCTCTGAACACTTAGAAATTGAAGGTTCCATGAATGAGGTGAGATTCATCTGGCATAGCATTATCTCATGAATTGATTGCATGGCTCAATAACAATCACCGACGCCATTCACAGACGCGGTGGGAAACATTTAAAAGACGTCTACCAATTTAATAGGCAAAGAGCTAAAGAAATATATTCAAAGCACAAAATTGCTTTTCAGCAGATGGTTAGTTTCGTCAATGAAGTTCTGCTACCACGCCAACTTGAAAGAAGCAACGAATTACTAGGCAGCTTAAGAAATGGATTTCTACTCTTCGGTTTTGCTGGCAAACGGAATAATATCAATTTTTTCGGCTTTTATGGCATGTTTTGGAAGTATCACTCTTATCATTGCAGTTGTGAAGAATCCTTTAAACCTGACTCGCAAAGCTATCCACAGAATCGAAGA